AAAAAAAAAGGTAAATAAATATAAAATGCAAAATAAAATTTGAGAAAATAGAAAAAAAGCATGATTTGTTTTCAGTGTTTCCAGGTGTTTCTGTCTGTGATAATGACGTGTTTCCAACGATTTCCAGTCTTCTTATGTGAAATTTGTGGGAGACACCTGATATCTTCTGTTTTCTCATTTGTGTAACGCGTCATGATATTTTTCAGTAACACAGTCATGTTACATTGCAGTTGCAATTATGTCGTTACTTGTGCTAAAACCCTTCTGTTATCTGCGTGTTTTCTTCTTGTGTGTGCACTTGCGCTACAATTATCTGAGTTTAGTGGGCAAGAGGAGGAAAATTGTAGAGTCATACAGCGATACAGCTTCTGAGGCGTGGTGATATGGACATTATTTTTATCTGATGCATCGGATGCACTGAGGAGTGATAGTGGGGTCTCTCTCTTAGCCGTTTTTTATCTTTGTCTTGTTGTCGGCTTTGTGGTCATATGTGAAAAGTAAGAGAACAATAATATGTGTGTCTTTATTAGGAAAAGGATTTGTATCAGTGTGTGGTTCGGCAGACTAAAGGTTTATGTTGTTAACTGGTAAATATGTAAGGGTGCGTTTGAAGTATCATATTATGCACTAATGAGAAAGTAACAGTGTAACAAATTACTTTCTCTGGTGAGTAATTACGTGATGTACTGCATTACAATAACGAGTAATGTGTACTTCACTTTTCTTGAGTAACGATCCCAACGCTGCCTCACAATCTCTTGTTGAGACTTAATAATTCTACTGTAACCAGATTATGACATCGATTGAGGTTTTAAGGTCTCCGAATCTACTAGTCCTGGTTTGAAGAGTGCATTCAAGATATATTTGTGCAAAACTCATGATGTCCTGATGCGTGCTCAATCATCCAGGTAAGTAAATCCCGAAAGGTTGATTCTGTTCATCTGGGCGTAGCGCTTTCAGTTTTTCACAGTGATATTTGGTACAATCCAGACGTTTCTTCATTTTTTTTCTAACACATGGCCTTCTGTTTTGTTCCTCAAACTCTCTAACTAACAGTAATGACATCTTCATGCTTTTGTAGAGTCTCCCAAAGCCAAATAACACTTGATACAGTTCCAGTAGCACTAATGACAGCCATTATACCTTCATATGTAAAGAAAAGGAATATCATTAGTACTGTATATGAAACCTTGCTTGATTAGAGGGGAGTGATGTACTGCACATTACATTTGCTAGCTATTATCAGAAAAAACAGAATAAGAATAAACAGATAAAAAGTTGGAAAAACTGGTCGAGAAACTTGTTACAGTACAGTTACAGTACTACACAAGCTTTTATCATCAGTGAAGAGGCGTTTCCATGGATCCCATTATCAGGTTTTGGGATGTTTTTGGAAAAAAGTGTGTCACATTTATCTGCCAGGCGTTTGGGCAGCACACACAGTTCCTCTTCATCAGATTAACTCTGCGGCTTCAAAGCAAAGCAGATGAGGAGTTTGGTGCCTGGTCTGACAATATATGGTTAGCCCTGTGTAAACACTGAGGCCCTGACAGATGTGCACTGATTGCTGCCGTGTCTGAAGATGCAGCTGTGAGAAGACGAGGCTGGATCCCATCACTCTAGCGTGAGACGACAGAATCCTTTGTCAGCCAGGGCGCTGAATCTGATTACCGGGGTCGAACTGTCGCACTGGGACACTGAGCGCTCTCCTCTGATGAAGTCTGCAACCCTCCAATCTATTCTTTACAATCTTGAGGATTTTAGGTGGACTGATAGTCATCACTAAAAACATTCCAAGAAGTCACTAGTATGATGTCACCCACAGCTGTCCAACCATTAGTACTAATCTGATTGACCTAAAAAGTAACAGTATGTGGTGAAAAAGGCAAGCTAGAATGAATCGCGTCATAAAGATTGCTTCCCAATTATTTGTTTAAAAGACGATGTCTCAGTTTTGGACAAAGGTTGTTACTATAACAAGATTAGCAAAAACTTTACTGGAAACTTTTTTTTTTGCCTTTTAACAGCAGAAATCCACTTAAAGCTTCCTGGGCTGTTCAAATGTTCCTGCCTTTATCCATGCTTTTTCCTGTTTAGGGTAGAGTAAGCAAAAGCTACTGAGTAGCCAGTTGTTTACGATTTGTTCAGGTGTCAAGCCAGCTCTGATGTATGCTTCCATCAACATCAGAGCTTTTTGGGAGACTCTTTGATGAGCTTACCTCATGAAAATGAAGCACTTTAGTCTTAAGCGAGTCTAAAGGACGGTAAAAAATTGAATGTAGGCTTTTTTTCGATGTAGAAATTTCCTAGCAGTGGGATAAAGAGAGAATTTCTTATCTTGCTAATATGCCATTTTTATTCCAACGAAATGTTTTTTTAAACATTTTTTCAGAAGTTCGGACATTTTACCTTTAGTTTATCTGCTTTGATGCAGCTGATTAATGGTTTGTAAAGTTTCTAGGCTATAAACATTCAAACTTGTGAACCTCCTGAATGCCCAAAGATTTGTAATTAATGACAAAGCAGAGGACGCAAGTGCATAGAATTCGGCACTATTTCTTCAGGAAGCAAATTCCAGCTGTCTCAACATTCATCCATCCATCCATCCTGGATCCTATCTCAGCTCTTAGTGGGTGAGAGGTTACACCCTGAAGAGGTTGCCAGTATTTAGACAGCACCGTGGAGCTAATTTCCTAAGATATGTGGTGACTGGTTGTCTTACAAAAGCTCCATTTGAATGAATTCTCTTTACAAACATTGGGCCCAATAAGAAGAGCACAAATATCCCCTTTTCTTCTACAAGAACTTTTCTAGGAGCCTTTTGTAGGAGCTCGTGAATTAGCAGTGTGTGGTTATAGACTCATACTTCTAACACCCAAACATTCATTAACTATTTTCTAAAGGGTCCGTCTACTACTGAGGTGGAGTCTCGTATTTCAAAATTCAAAACTACTGGTCCAAGACAAACTCTGAGTAACTGAGTTTATTTAAGAAAGCCCAGTATGTCTGTAAGATCAATATCAGGACCTCATTTATTAGTAATTCACATTATGGAGATTACTGAGCAGAATTATCAAAAGGTCAAAATAATACCAACAGTCATACAACACCCAATACGTCACAGACGGGCTCACAGCTATCTGCAGGATCTGAGACAATATTTTGGCCAAAAATAAACTTGCAAAGTCCGCAGGTAAGTGGTGAGGTCGTGACATGTAGGATTGTTGTACTTCAACAGACTATTGACAAATAGGTGATTTCCATGTTAACACTGTCTGCAATCTACAATCTATATTTACACTCCCAGTCGTGTGAACTGAACTATGTTGGTTAAAATGAAAGGGTAAGTCAATCATCTGCTTCTGCACAGTGTGTCAGCATGCGCAGTACATGACAAATAGACAGCATCCTGTCTGCCATGTGGATTTGTGCGCTGGGACAGGCAGCTGGGCGGTGACACCGTCCTTACAGTCGTATTTCAGATGTAGATACCAGAGCTTCTGCTCAGTCTGCTTCCCATCTCCCTTCTGATGACATCCACAGATTCATCCTCTGGGGAACATGTCTTCGAATTCTGCTTTTTAAACTGCCTCTTGTGTGCTTTAAAATTCTCATTCAAATCCAAATCCTGGCCAGATGAAGAGAATGCATCAAAACTTTTCACATGTTGGGCTTTTTTTTTTTAATTCTTGTGGGATAGAGTCCACCTCATTTTGGTTATAATGCATCACATTCTTGTGGGTGGTCCATCTATGATTAAAATATGCAGGACTATTCTCTTGAGGACTTGTACCTTTTCTCGGCCAATAGATTTCTCCAATAACAATTCATTTTTTAGCTTAATGCAAAGGATTTAATGGTCTGATGTCGTTACAAACACCTCATCTATTTTGAATTTCACACAGCTGTCCAAATATGTCTCAACAATAGTAGTGCTATACAACATTCCCACAATTAATACCTAGTGACTGTTATTTTTTTTTTGCATAATTTGGCTGCAACCACACACCATGCAGCACAAAACTCTATATATGTGAAAATATGTTTAACTATCTTCAAAAAAAGTCACGTTCCACTTAATAATGGGAATGAAAAACATCCTGATACTGCAGTA